TGGAGTAGAGATAAACACAGAGGCGTAGCGGGGGGGGGGGGGGGGGGCGGGGGGGGATATGTGTCTCCGGGCGCCGACCTTAGGGGGGGCCCAACTTGAAAGAGTTAAGGGGGGGGGGTGGAAATGAAAAGTTCGAGGGGGGGTGCAAATCGAAAGTTTGAGGGGTGGTGCAAAGCAAAAGTTCGAAGGGGGGGGGGTGCAAATCGAAAGTTTGTCCCCGGGCTCCGGGAAGGGTCGCTACGCCTCTGGATAAACATTAAAATTAAAATACACGACAGAGGCTCCAGAAAGAAAGGGTTAAGTCTTTACCTCTAATCGCACTCTTTATAAATTATAAAATACTAGCTTTTTGTAACATGTTTTAAATCAACGCAGCTAAAAGCTTTAAAAAAAAGTCTACTGAATTATTCACGAAGACAAGAAATATGAAGAAAGCGCCACATTGTGAGTCTGCTAGTACTTAAGGCCTGATGTTATTAGGTGTGACCCTACCTAGAGTTCCTCATACACTGACCAATATGTCTTTATACACTGATCAGCAATTAATTTAGGTTATGCTTCTGACGCTGAAAGACCCTGAACGTATATATCTATTATACTAATTTTACAGTAGGATAAAAACCTACTTGCTGTACACTAGTCATAAAGTCTAGTGTCAATCCTCAAAGCTAATCATCTCCTGATATTAAATAAAAAATACAACTGGCAAACTTGGATGATATTTCTAAACGGTTCAACAATTCTTGACATACTGACCATATTCCTAAAGTATACAAGTATTCCACACTAACTGTGATATTTCTAAACTGAACAACAATTCTTTTCAAACTGACTGTATTCCTAAAGTGTACACCGATTCTCTTCAAAGCGGACCATATTCCTAAAATATGCAAGTATTCCCTACTAACTATAACATACCTAAAATGTACAATACGCTACAAACGATGATGGCCTAATCCCAAAAAATGCTCAACGATTCCTTACAATCTATGACGGGAATATTCCTAAAATGTACAATGGACTAAAAATAATGAACATATTCCTAAAACGTGCAACGATTCCCTACAACATATGGCGTCAATATTCCTAAAATGTACTATACCCAACAAACTATGACCATATTCCTGAAACTTGTAATGATTTCTTTCAACATATGGCGACCATATTCCTAAATTGTACAATCAATAAAACTTAAAACCATTTTCTACAACCAATGGTGGCCATATTCTTAAAATGTACATTAATTTGCCACAATCTATCGATTTGCGTTCTCCCTAACTAGTTTAAGACTCGCGGTGTGAAATAATTTAGTGCAGGAAATTATTCTCAGCATACAATCTGCAGTGTGCCAATTGCATTTAACTTTTGAGATTAAAAAATGTACAACGCAATTTTACCAAAGGGAATTCAATTTACCAGTAGAATGGATCTTAAATTGATGTTTTGAGCCATATTTTTACCAGTAAAAAATGGTCTTTGAACAAACTTATACTACAACTTCAATCAAACCAACTTCAGAAACTACGATCAAACTTACTTTAGAAATTACAATCACGTTTGCTTTAGATACTACAATCATTGGCGTAGCGAGGTCGGGTGTCACCCGGTGCGACACTTAATGGTGTCACCCCCCAGAGGCGCAGCGACCCTTCCCGTGGACACATTTTCGATTTGCACCCCCCCTCAAACTTTCGATTTGCACCCCCCCCCCTCAAAATTTTCTCTATATATTTTGCTATTTTTTGCCTTGGTGTCACCCCCCCCCCCCCTAAATGGTGTCACCCGGTGCGGTCCGCACCTCCCCCCTCCGCAGAGGCGTAGCGACCCTTCCCGGCGCCCGGGGACATACTTTCAATTTGGCGCCCCCCTCGGGAGCAAATTTTCGATTTGCACCCCCCACTCGAACTTTTCATTTGCACCCCCCCCCCCCTCAAACTTTCAATTTGGCGCCCCCCCCTAAGGTCGGCGCCCGGGGACGTATGTCCCCCCCCCCGCCCCACCCTCGCTACGCCTCTGCCCCTCCGCACCCCCTCTCGCTACGCCTCTGACTAAAATCAAACCTACACTAAAAAATTACAAACCTACTTTAAAAATTACCAACAAACCCACTCAATAAACATGATTTAAGTTTTTTTTTTTTAAAGATGGTCATCGACAAAATCAACAAACAACTTCTCATTAAGCTATTTAAAATAAATAAATAAAAATATCAAGCTGTCTCCTGCCCTAACCCCTTTTGTCTACAGCAACACTACACTATTGTTATGTTTTTTTTTATATCTTAAGCTTTATTTCATCATCAAATTCTCAACATCCTACCAAAAACACCATCACAATACCATCGCTAAACAAATCGACCTCACCGAAACATCAGACATCATTTATACAACATCACTCTTACAACAACGCTTAGGTCATATATTCCCTCTATGTGACCATCAACTCGCTGTTTTACTCTTAGAGTTTTTATAGCTCTGTATCTTAGTCCGCTACTCTACGTCTTTAACATAACAAGGTAATTTTAAACACCCATCAGAGCATTGCCTTCATGTTAATCTTCACAAATCTCGAAAATCCAAACCATGAGTAAAAACATTTCTCCGACAATTACCGAAAGAAAACTTGAAAGAGAATTCAAACAAAATGGGGCCGGGAAAAGCTCATGGTTGCTAAGACCCAGAGGCGTAGCGAAGGAGGGGGGGGGGGCGGACCGCACCGGGGACACCATTTAGGGGGGTGACACGAAGGCAAAAAAATAGCAAAATAGATAGAGCAAAATTTGAAGGGGGGGGGGGGTGCAAATCGAAAGTTTGAGGGGGGTGCAAATCGAAAGTTTGAGGGGGGTGCAAATCGACAAGTTTGAGGGGGGGGGTGCAAATCGAAAATTTGAAAGTTTGTCCTCGGGAAGGGTCGCTACGCCTCTGGGGGGGGGGGTGACACCATTAAGTGCCGCACCGGGTGACACCCGACCTCGCTACACCACTGCTAAGACCAGAGTTCGACCCCCCTGGTAGATGAGGCCTGAAAGCTGATGGTAGTAGCATCGGGCGAGAAAATCCTAATTAAACTACTGCTGCCTTGTAGTATGACAATGGCTATGGAAAAGCAGGCTGATATCGGAGTCAACGGCCTACACGGCGCATAACAAGTTGACCTGTAATACTTAATTATGTTAGAGGAAATCTCAATCAACATTATAATTAAGAACGAAGAAGAAGAAGCAAAAAAGTTTCACCATAAGCCGAGCAACTTACTGACCATTACTTCCATGTTTAACTTCTAATTTTTTCCCCCCACAAACTAAAGAGAAAACAAAATTGTTTTTTTTAACTTGACCCGGAAGTAAAAAGCAACAACATCCCACGATCGCCTTTTTCGTGGATTAGTGTTGATCTCTTTGATCTTAGTTCCAGTAATGGAGACTCTAAGACTGGAGAGTGAGATGGCTTATGAGCACTGACTGGATCGATGGAGGCATGGGACTTAAGTGACCTTTGAGTAGCATCTGGTAAAAATCTACTCACCACTGGCTAACCCAGATAACTGACCACAGACCACAGGCTACCTCAGATAACTGAACACTGGCTACCTCAGATAACTGACCACTGGCTACCTCAGATAATTGACTATTGGCTATCCCCAGAAAACTGACCACTGGCTATCCACAGATAACTGACCACTAGCTACCCCAGAAAACTGACCACTTGCCACAGGCTACCCCAGATAACTGACCATAGGCTATCCACAGAAAACAGACCATAGGCTATCCACAGATAACTGACCATAGGCTATCCACAGAAAACAGACCATAGGCTATCCACAGATAACTGACCATAGGCTATCCACAGATAACCGACCACTGACTACCCCAGATAACTGACCACTGACTACCCACAGATAACTGACCTCTGGTTACACCGGATAAATGACCACTGACTACCCCAAATAACTGACCACTGACTACCAACAGATAACTGACCACTGACTACCCACAGATAACTGACCACTGACTACCCCAAATAACTGACCACTAACTACCCCAGATAACTGCCCACTGGCTACCCACCTGAACATTGGCTACCCCAGATAACTGACCACTGGCTACCCACCTGAACATTGGCTACCCCAGATAAATGACCACTGGCTACCTCAGATAACTGAACACTGGCTACCTCAGAAAACTGACCACTGACTACCTCAGTTAACTGACTATTGTCTATCCACAGATAATTGACCACTGGCTATCCACAGAAAAACGACTACTGACCACTGGCTATCCACCGATAACAGACTACTGACCACTGGCTACCCACAGAAAACCGACTACTGACCATTGGCTATCCACAGATAACTGACCACTGGCTATACACAGATAACCGACTACTGACCACTATCTACCCCAGATAACTGACCACTGGCTATCCACAGATAGCCCACTACTGACCACTAGCTACCCCAGATAACTAACCGCTGGATACCCAGTGATAATCGTGTACAGAAAACTGACACCTGTAAAACCAAACACTGACATGTAACGAGCAAGTAACCTCTGACTAGCACCTAATAACCGACAAGCGAATCATCTTGTTAGCCAAAATTAACCTAATTAAAATCCGGCTAACCACTTACATGGCATATATTTGAGTACAACCAATGAAATTTGTAAATTTCAAGAATAACGAACATGCAGTTTTTATCAAACTTTTTAAGGCAGATTTTAAAAACAACAAGCAATATTTATATATATATATATATATATATATATATATATATATATATATATATATATATATATATATATATATATATTTATTTATTTATATATATATACACATGTATGTATGTATTTATGTATGCATGTATATATATAAATATTAATATATATATATTATCTATATTATATATATATATATATATATATATATATATATATATATATATATATATATATATATATATGAATACATGTGTGAGTAATGTGTTTAACAAGTTTGACTTACGTTATCTCTATACACGTAGACCACGATTCCACCTATAACCATGGCCAACAGCATCACGAATAGAAGAATAAAGAACTGAAAGAAAGGAAAAATAATGTATTATTTATTTTGAAAATGCGATACTTTATACAGTTAATACAAGAGATAGCTGTTGCTGATGGCATGCGTTCGTTGTGTGGTAGCTATCAGTAGTTCAAGTTTCAAATAACTTTTTACTACACAAGACGATCTGATCGTTTCTGGTAAATAATTACAAGTGGTGAATTGAACTTTTTCTGTTTCTTTGCTTACATATTTTGCAGTTTAAGTCTAAACTAGTCATATAAAGTCTTTAATTAAAGAACTCATTAACCGAAACAAATATTTTACGTCATAGTATTTTTTTTTGGGTAGAGATTAGACCAGAGGCGTAAGAAGGTTTTCAGGTGAGTGACTAGTCCACAAAAGGCGCCATATATATATATATATATATATATATATATATATATATATATATATATATATATATATATATATATATATATGCATATTATTATGTATGTATGTATTATATGCGTACGATACTGGATTCGGCGCTTGGACAATGTCTAACATAATGAGAGGACAAACTCACTAACACACTCACAGACACACCTAAGCGCAGACACGATTACATCCCAAATCCCAAGTCTCAACCATTTATCTCATTACGCGCAGAAATCGGTCGAAACGTGATCATGGATTTTATAAAAAAAACAACAACAGAAAACGAATAATCTATAATTAGCTCTCACGTGATACAGGGTGTTGCTTAAAGCTCATAACTCCCCTGTAAGACATTAATGATGATTAAACACTGACTGTTTTATTTATTTTTTTGTTCTCATCTGTCAATGTGGACAGCCTACTTTGTCAAGATTTTCCCATGCGGTTCGACTTCTCTATCAGGTTTATGAACGGACATATCCACCGACTTTTTTTAGTTGTCAAAAGGGGGGTAATTAATAAGACTTGAATTGAGCAAGACGTAGTAAAAAAAACTTTCTCCTAGTAAAAAGTTCTAAAATTATATATTGTATAAAATGACGCGCAATTAATCAAATAATAAGATAATTCCTTTAATTTTGCCATTAATTAGAAAGAACAATATTATTTTCAGAACAAAGCCTTTTTTTCTTAACATCATTTGTAATTATCAGGAAATTTCAGGATATCTTAGTTAAATTTCCGAATCTCCACAAAAAAAAAAGATAATAATAAAAAAAACCGAAACAAATATAAATTAGGTTAATTATCTTGGCTACACCAAAGATATGGACAAAGTGATAGATGAAACGTAGTATGTTTATTTGCTTTGGTGCCACGAAGTGAACATAGTGACATAATTACATGTGTAATGTTTGCTGGGAGGGGAGAGAACATCAAGATAACCGGTGAGTCTAGAGATTTGTTCCGTTAATATTTAAACAATTTTAAAGGTTTAAGGTATATTTGATAGCGCCATATTTTAACAGTGTTTTTATTTTATTTTTATTTATTTTTAATTCTGTAATTTAAATTGTATGATAATTGTTTTCACAAAAGAATTGAAGTTTATTTTTAAAAAAAACGGTTTTCCTTTCTCTCACTCACACACACAGACACCCACACATACAGACTGACACACACACACACACACTGCCTGTCACGTTCTCGTTTTCTCATAGAATCTTTTTAATATTTTTATCTCTCACTCTGGTCTCGCTCTATAATACTGTCGTTCTCTCTCTCTCACACTGTCATTTTCTCTTTCTCGCATAGATTCTCACTCTCTTCATCAGGCTTTCTCCAACCACTTTCTGTCGCTTTCTAACTCTCTGACTCTCTCTCTTTCTGTTGTCTTTCATTCACTCTCTATATCGACAATCACAGAAACCACACACACACAATCAAATCTCACTCTCAAACACCATCATCAAAAGTACGCACACACACAAACACACACACATACACAAACACTGCTTACATTAACACATCACCACACACACACACACACAAACACTGCATACATTAACACATCACTACACACAGACATACACACACATACAAACACTGCATACATTAACACATCACCACACACACACACACAAACGTTGCCACTTTGAAATTTCCAGCCATCTCTACGTAGACATGACATTGTCATCGAGGAAGCGACATGACATTCCCGTCTGCTAGCAAGACGTGACATATGACAACGTCTCCCCTCGCCCCACCCCCCTACACGACTAGCATCGGCAGCAGGCTATATCGGGAAATAAGATGTCATCGTCTGTCGGCTTGAATTATGCAACTTGATTGGCTGCTAGGTGTCACGTGGTTCGGTCAAAGCAGGAACTATGTCTATGGAGTGGGGTGGGTGGGGGGGGGGGGCGTCAGAACGGGAAGGGGAAATGTAGATCTAGATGTAGATCTAGATCAGGATGAAAGGGGAACTGTAAGTCTATGGCAGGGGAGGGGGGTGTCAGGACTGTAAAAGGAAATGTAGGTCTATGGGTGGGGGGGGGGGGGGGTTCATGACTGAAAAAGGAAATGTAGGTTTATGGGGGGGGGGAGGTGGTGGTTTCAGGCCTGAAAGGGAACTTTGGATCAATGGAGGATCAGGACTGTAAAGGGAAATGTAGGTCTATGGGGGGGGGAGGCGTCAGGATTGAAAGGGAACATAAGGTCTAGCAGTTTAGGAAGGGGGGGAAGGGGGAGTCAGGACCGTATGGAACTGTAGGCCTACGTGCGACCAGTTCTGTAAATAAACCTTACGTTATAAAGGTCAACTAGAAATTTTAAAAATTAAAAAAAAAATGGGGTGGACGTTTTACTGACTTGAACCCTGATTCGAACTCGGGACTTTCGGGTCAGCTGTCTAGCTTGCAGGCCACAGTTTCAAATTTCAAAGCAGCACTGATTCATACGGTAATGGCATACACATCGGCACATACGCGCGCACACACACACACACACACACACACACACACACACACACACACACACACACACACACACACAACCACACACACACACATACACACACTGACACTTTGAAATTTCACAGCAGCGCTGATTCATCTGGTAACCGCCAAAACAACTCACCGATCCCAGCATGCATTTCACTTCCTTGATGGCGCCACAGCAGCCGAAGAATGAGATGACGATGACCACGCCCCCAGACACGATGAGCGCCGTGGAGATGGCGGAGTTTAGCGAGGAGCCCAGGATCGAAGACAGCTGAGACAGCTGGTTCTCGCTTGATCGGGTGTAGACGCCGAACCCGAGAAGTCCGCAACCTGCGATCTGGAAAACAATAGGAGTGGATGTTAGTGATGTCATATAGAGAGAAAGAGGTTGGTATGATGTTGGATAAAGGGAGAGAGGTATGTTGGTGAAGTATCGAAAAAGAGTGTGATGTTGTACAGAGAGAAAGATGTTTGTGTGATGTTGTAAAGGGATAAAGATATTGATATGTTTTACAGGGAGAAAGATGTTGGTGTAATGTTGAATAAAATGAGAGTAAGGTGTTGGTATAAGATGTAACGAGAGAATGAAAGATATTGATGTGATGTAGTACAGAGAAAAATGTTGTTGCAAAATCGGACAAAGGGAGAGAAATAAGTTGTTTTAATATCAAAAACAAGGGAGACAAATATATTGATGTAATCTTCAATAAAATTAGAGAAATACTGCCTTCGATCTACTGTGTATATATTGAAATAAGTTGTCATACTGTTTATAAAATAGATTTTTGTTTGCAAAAATATGCATTTTAAAAAATTTGCTTTTATTTTATATCTATTAAGTATTAATTAAAATGAAAACAGCTTAAATTATTACATGGGAACTTCAATAAAATTTAAAATTTAATACGTTCTAATATTCATCACCAGCTATAGACGTCCAGTGACCTTAGATTTTTTAAATAAAATAATATTAAGTTCAACTACTAGTCTATGACAGGGGTCGGTAGTCTTTTGAGACGGAAGAGCCAAAAGTTACAATTTACCAAATTTCCAAGCTTTCAAAGAGCCACTAACTTTTTTATTTCAATATTATTATTTTGATAAGGAATATATATATATATATATATATATATATATATATATATATATATATATATATATAATATATATATATATATATATATATTAAAATAAATAGATTTTAATATATATATATATATATATATATATATATATATATATATATATATATATATATATATAATTTAAAATAAATAGATTTAAATATGAAGTATTATTTATTCATATAAAAACATACACATGTTTCGCAGAAAAAATATTAACGTTTTTATCGAGCTCTGCAAGAATAATAAAATCAGTAATCAAATTATATAACTTTAATTATTGAATACTATTTACAATAGTTTGGCCTTGCATGCCTTTTGAAAGTTTGTTTAAACCTGGCTCATAACTTTTTTTCAGTTTCAAGCACGCCTCTATTAATTAGTTGGCTTCTATACCTTGTATTACATTCATGCAAGAAAACGCTTGCTCGTATCAATGTTGACCCGAAGACCGTCAGCACTCTAAATGCCAACTTCTTCACCTCACTTTAGCATTCTGCAAGACTATTCCATCCGTCACAAAAAATCGCCGCAACTCGCGGCATTTCTTTTAGAGCAGTCCACTTGTGCAGTGCAACGTGCATGTTTTACTGAACCTCCAAATCATCTAACTTGCTCTTAATATATGTGAACTTACCACTCCACAAATGTTTGGTTTTCAAATCTAGCAATTTCATTTGAAGCGAACCAGCATTAATTCCAAATAGCTCAAAGTTAATCTCATTTGTTTTTGTGTTGAGAGGAACTACTATGAACGCTATAATACCTGCATTTCTTTTGAATTGCTCAAATCTCTCAGTGAACTCATCCTTCATTTTGTTTATAGCAATGCTGAAGTGATTTATGTTAATAGAAGCGTTGGTTTTATCACGATATTTATTTTTCAATTGTTTCGAAATAAGTAATTTACCGCTCTCTGTGTCTTCAACAAAATGAAGTAATTTATTTTTAGAAAAGCGAGTGCTTAATGTTTATGTTTATTATTATATCGTTCATTACCGAGTGTTGCAGAACAATATTTTTAAAAATAAAATAAAATAATTATTAATATTTGTGAAAGGAGTTGAAGAGCCGCATCTCGACAACAAAAGAGCCGCATGCGGCTCGCGAGGCGCAGGTTGCCGACCCCTGGTCTATGACAGAAGTCGGCAACCTGCGGCTCGCGAGCCGCATGCGCCTCTTTTGATGACAAGATGCGGCTCTTCAGCTCCATGCACACGTATTAATTTTTTATTTTATTTTTATAACTCATAAAAGTATTAGTCTGCAACACTCGGTTGTATAATAATAAATATAAACATTAAAAACTCGCTATTCTATAATAATATTTAATTACTACCTATTTCAATGTACTTCCTTGTTTTCTAAAACTGAGTTATTTAAATATAAACAACGAGCCGACCCGCGGCATATAATACGCCGCTATTTAGTTGTTGTTTTTTCTACTTTTCAGTTATTCATAATTTGTGAATTCGACACTACCAACGCTGCCACTGAAAATATTTCTTTAAAACACTATAAGTAGCTCGTTAAGGACGATACCCCCCCCCTTCCTTCCACCCCCCCCCCCCCCATCCGTTAAAGTAAATTCCACTTAGTTACCCCCCCTACGTTTAAAACCGTTTCAAACTAAATTATCTGCCCCTAATAGTCGTCACTAAACCCGGCTCTGTTTGTAAACATTTAGAGTGAACCACAGCTCATCAGACCAAGTAGGGGTGGGGTGGTAGGGAGCGCGTTTACAGCTTGTTTTCTAGCGTCTCCCAGAAGAGAATTATATATATAGATGCCTGAGCGTGGTTCATATTTTCGGGGCATGGGTTACCTACACTACCGCCCATGAAAGCCTTGAGTGTAAGTTAATCACTCACCGTAATATCATCTATAATCACTCACCGCCTAAGTGTCGAGGAAGGAACGGAAAGTAACACTCTCGTGAACCTGAATACACTACCGTAGGCCCCAGCTCGGTTTAATCATCGAAAGTCGTAGGGTGCTCCTTAAAACTAACGTAGGTACGTTGTGCTCGCGGGATAGCCCTGAGCATCAATTCGATTTGGTGAGCGACTGTATTGTATCCATAGCCTACCGCGCGCTGTTTAAAATTAACGTAGGCGCCATTGTTCTCAAGGGTAATATATATATATATATATATATATATATATATATATATATATATATATATATATATATATATATATATATATATATATATATATATATATATGTATGTATGATCATAATCTATATATATAATGCTCTTCTGGGAGACGCTAGAAAACAAGCTGTAAGCGCGTTCCCTACCACCCCACCCCTACATGGTCTGGTGAGCTGTGGTTCACGCTAATGTTTACATTCGTAGAGCCGTGTTTAGTGACGGCTATTAGGGACAGATCAGATAATTTAGTTTGAAACGATTTTAAACTTAGGGGAGGTAACTAAGAGGAGGCTGCTTTCACGGGGGGGGGGGGGGTGTAGGGTAGGGGTTGGGGGTAGTATCGTTCTTAACGACCTACTGATGGTATTTTAAAGCAAATATTTTCAGTGGCAGCATTGGTACTGTCGAATTCACAAATTATGAATTACTGACAAGTAGAAAATAAAACAACTAAATAGCGGCATATGATATGCCGCGGATCGGCTCGTATTGAAATAAGAATGTTAGTGGCTCTTTAAAATCTGGGAAATTTTGTAAATTGTAACTTTTGGCTCTTCCGTCTCAAAATGTTGCCGACCCCTGGTCTACGACATAGTGCAAGAGCAGAAAGAAAATTTGGTTAACCATGAGCCTGATTTCTAGTAACATTAAAATGATAATCGCGATAGTTAGTGAGTAGCCTATAAACATGTATTTCTTTTTTCTTATTTTTCTTACTGGTAAAATATTTTTAGTTTAAAAGCTAATCACTAACAAGCTGATTTTCTTTGTTGCCTTTTTAATTTTTCTGCTACTAAATAAAAAGGGAAAGGGGACATTTTATCCTAATGCATTAGCTTCTCGTTAAGTAATTAAAGTAAAACCATCCGCACTTAACTTTTTTGATTTTCACTCAGCGGGAAGCAGCGGACCTTTAATTTCTTCTAAAGTTACACATTTTAACCTCTGTTAATTATTACACATTGTGTGTGAGAAGTCTAGGAAAAAAGTTCTTGGTGAAGAGAAAATTGTCAAAAACATGGATACGACAAGGCTCTTGACAAGGGCTCTGAGCCTGAGAGAGACGAGTTGCCTCCTTTACATCCTCAGACAAGTCTCGAGAAATTAAGATTACGCGGAAAGCCCACTTTCGCGACATAGGGACTATTAGGGACCCCATTATGTGTCTCAACCACTACGACGTGGGCTTGTTTTCGTGTTATTTGAGGCTCATTATATACCGACTGTATGGAAGCCAAATCCAGTTAGTTCTTTTTTGAGGAACGATTGCATATTTATATTTATCTTGGTAATAAAACAAGCTACCAAGGCACTTATGTTGAATGGCAAAAAATTAAAATAGAATTCGTTTTTAAATTTCGTTGCATACAATTTTTCAAGCTTAAATGTGGGAATGAGATATATTCTCTTTTATATTCTCGAAATTATTTTTTGGACACACTACTTTTGTCCCTTACACATTAGATATATATATATATATATATATATATATATATATATATATATATATATATATATATATATATATATATATATATATATATATATATATATATATATATATATATATATATATATATATATATATATATAATATGGAAAGCTCCTCCCAGCTATAAAGATTGGTAAACAAGCCAATTGTTTCATTACGTAAGTGTAACCAGGGGAGTAGCGAGGGGGGGCGGAGGTGCGTACCGCACCGGGTGACACCATTTAGGGGGTTGACACCAAGGCAAAATATAGCAAAATATATAGAGAAAAATGATAAGTCCACTTAGTTAAGTGATTAATTCGAGTGTTAAATAGCCTCTGGGGGGGGGGGGGGGGTGACACCATTAAGTGCCGCACCGGGTGATACCCGACCTCGCTACGCCACTGAGTGTAACTATCTATAGAAGAACAAGAAATGTATATACCGAAAGTGTATCAACGACATTAGAACTAAAAACTAGCATTTCTAGTTTTTCAGACTCAGACACACATTTTTTTCTAATAACTCGTTTTAACCAAAAGCGCGGTGGACAATTAAACAAACATCCAGTCATTATTAGCGAG